AGATCCTGAGTGCCTGCTATTCCATGCAAGGGGGGAGGGGAGGGGTAAAACGATCCCCAAATCCAACAAGACCCAGCCTTCCTGGAGCTCCCCACTCTCGTGTTCAGGGAGACTGTGGATAAACTGCTGGCAATGAGGAGAGGCACGGATCACAAGGTGCTTGCCCTGTCCTCAGCCCCGAGCATGAAACTAACTCATTCTCTCCTCATAACAACACCATGAAGTCTGTACTGTACCCATTTTACAGATGAGACAGCTGGGGCACAAAGAAGTTAAACAACTTGCCCAAGCCCCTAAGGAGCGTGCATATTTGAACTCAGGCAATCTAGTTCTGGAATCCATGCCCCTAAGCACCGTGGTGTAAACAAAGGACCCAGGTGGTGAACAAGCACCATGCAGACGAGTCAGGCAGGGACAGGGAACCCCGCACCCTGGGCATTTTACACAGGAAACCACTCTAGTAAGAGCAGAGACCTGAGGGAGGAGGGGAGAGAGCTGTGGCATAGCTGGAAAGAAGGTTCCACAGAAGGAGCGGCAAGGGCAGGCTCTGAGTTTCCCAGGAACAAGGAGGGCTCCGTGGGGGCCATGGTGGGTGAGGCAGTTCAAGGACAGGCCTTCTGAGAGATGCAGAGGGCAGTGTGATGAGGCAGTTGCTAATGAGTGGGCAGTCTTTGGTGGTTCATTGTGAAACCCTCAGTTATAAGACTGTTATTGTCTCTGAATGTGGTAAGACAGGGGATTCCAGGAAAGTCAAATGTCAGAGTAAAACTGTGGATCAGCTCCCCACACCAGGGGAAAACGGAAGCTGAAGAAAGTAGAGGGCTCATCTGGAGACTCCACGTTTACGGGGAAGCCTTTCTTCTGGGCCACCTGTCAGTTGGGGTGGAAGTCCACTCTTCTTGGTCGGCCCGTTGGTGCTTCCTTCCTTAGCTGAATGTCTGGATCTGGGAGATGGGGGTACCAGGAGACGGCTCCTCCCCAGAGACGGGATGGTGAAGGGCACTGTGGCAGGCAAAGTATGGTCCCCAAAGAGATCCACATCCTAAGCCACAGAGCCTGTGGCTGTGTGACCTCACATGGCAAATGGGACCTTGCAGGTGTGACCAGGGATCCTGAGATGGTGAGATGACCCTGGATGGTAGGGCTCCGTGGGCCCAGTGTCATCATAAGGGTCCTCGAAGAGGGAGGCAGGAGAGTCAGACCAGAGTGGTGACATCATGAGAAGGAATCGGCCCTGTCTCTTCAATAAATGGTGCTGGGGAAACTGGATAGCACCATGGAGAAGAATGGAACCGGACCGCTTTCTTACACCACACACAAAGATAAACTCAAAATGGATGAAAGATGTGAGAGAGGAAACCATCAAAATCCTAGAGAACACAGGCAGCAACCTCTTCGAACTTGGCCTCAGCAACTGCTTGCTAGACAGGTCTTCAAAGGCAAGGGAAACAAAAGCAAAAATGAACTATTGGGACTCCATCAAGATAAAAAGTTTCTGCATAGCAAAGGAAACAGTCGATAAAACCAACAGGCAGCCTCCGGAATGGGAGAAGATATTTGCAGATGACATAGCTGATAAAGGGTTAGTATCCAAAATCTATAAAGAACTTACCAAACTCAACACCCAAAAAAACAAATAATCCAGTTAAGAAATGGGCAGAAGACATGAATAGACATTTTCCAAAGAAGATGTACAGATGGCCAACAGACACATGAAAAGATGCTCAACATCACTCATCATCAGGGAAATGCAAATCAAAACCACAATGAGATACCACCTCACACCTGTCAGAATGGCTAAAATTAACAACACGGGAAACGACAGGTGTTGGCGAGGATGCAGAGAAAGGGAAACCCTCTTACACTGTTGGTGGGAATGCAAACTGGTGCAGCCACTCTGGAAAACAGTGTAGAGGTTCCTCAAAAATTAAAAATAGAGGGCACCTGAGTGGCTCAGTCAGTTGAGCATCCAGCTCTTGATTTTGGCTCAGGTCATGATCTCAGGGTCGTGAAATTGAGCCCCACGGGTGCCTGGGTGGCTCAGATGGTTAAGCGTCTGCCTTCGGCTCAGGTCACGATCCCAGGGTCCTGGGATCGAGTCCCGCATCGGGCTCTCTGCTCCTTGGGAGCCTGCTTCTCCCTCTGCCTCTCTCTCTCTCTCTGTCTCTCATGAATAAATAAATAAAATCTTTAAAAAAAAAAAGAAATTGAGCCCCACATTGGGCTCCATGCTCTGCACAGAGTCTGCTTGGGATTCTCTCTCTCCCTGTCCCTCTTGTCTCTCCCTCTGCTCTCTCTCTCTCCCTCCCTCTCTCTCTCAAATAAATAAAATCTTTTTTAAAAAGTTAAAACTAGAACTGCCCTATGATCCAGCAATTGCACTACTAGGTATTTACCCAAAGGATACAAAAATACAGATTCTTATGGGCACATGCACCCCAGTGTTTATAGCAGCACTATCAACAATAACCAAACTATACAAAGAGCCCAAAGGGCCATCGACTGATGAATGGATAAAGAAGATGTGGTATAGCCATACAGTGGAATATTACTCAGCCATCTAAAAGAATGAAATCTTGCCATTTGCAACAATGTGGATCTAGTTGGAGTGTGTTATGCTAAGTGAAATAAATCAGAGAAAGACAAATACCATATGATTTCACTCGTGTGGAATTTAAGAAACAAAACAGATGAACAAAGGGGAAGAAAAAAAAGAGAGAGAGAGAAACCAAACCATTAGAGACTTTTTTTTTTTTTAAAGATTTTATTTATTTATTTGAGAGAGAGAGAATGAGAGACAGCACGAGAGGGAAGAGGGCAGAGGGAGAAGCAGACCCCCCGCTGAGCAGGGAGCCCGATGCGGGACTCGATCCCGGGACTCCAGGATCATGACCTGAGCCGAAGGCAGTCGCTTAACCAACTGAGCCACCCAGGCACCCCCACCATTAGAGACTCTTAACAATGGAGAACAAACTGAGGGTTGATGGAGGGAGGTGGGTGGGGGATGGGCTGATGGGCATTAAGGAGGGCACTTGTTGTGATGAGCACCGAGTGTTATACGTAAGTGATGAATCACTGAAGTCTACTCCTGAAACCAATATTGCACTGTATGTTAACTAACTAGAATTTAAATAAAAATTTAAAAAGGGGTACCTGGTTGGCTCAGTCGGTTAAGTGTCTGACTCTTGATTTCGGCTCAGGTCGTGATCTCGGGGGTCGTGGGATCAAACCCATGTCAGGCTCCGTGCTCAGTGCAGAGTCTGCTTGGGTTTCTCTCTCCTCTCCCTGTGCCCCTCCTGCTTGTGCTCTCTCTATATAAAATAAATGAATAAATCTTCAAAAAAAAATTTTTTTAAGAAAAATAAATAAATGGGTAGTCACTTAAAAAAAAGACAGAGAGAGAGAAGGAATCAGCCCATTGTTGCTGGGGGAAGGAGTCAGAGCCGAAGAATGTGGGCTGCTTCTAGAAGCTGCCTGAGGCAAGGAGCCATTTCTCCCCCAGAGCTTCCAGGAGGAACCCAGCCCCGACCACACCCTGACGTTAGCCCAGTGAGACCAGTTTCAAACTTCTGATCTCCAGAACTGTAAGCGATCAAGCTGGGTTGTTTTAAGACGCTAAATCGGCGCTACTTCATCTCAGCATCCATAGGAAACTGATAGGAAAGTAAAAGGAGGCTTCTGAGACTCTGACTCTGACCAGTGCCCGGCCCTAAGGAAGCCCTCCCCCGGGGGGTGGGGGGTGCTGCACCTTGCTCCCAGCAGCAGGCCTCCAGTCCGCACAGCAGCCTCAGTGAGCCAGATGGGCCTGCCCAGCAGAACAGCCTCCCTCCAGACGGCCCCAGCCTGCCTGCCTTTGGCCCTGGTGTGAACTGGCAGAAGTGTTGGTTAGCCGGTTGAATAAGGAACTGGAACGAAGGTCCTCCTGAGCTCAGAGCTGTGGAGACAGTGGGCCTTCTGGAAGTAAACAAGTGGCCACAGACTCTTGGTAACGCGCCTTTCAGAAGAAGAGCTGGCCACCATTCCCGGAGATTGGATGTGCTTACCGAAAACATGGTTTGAATTTCCTGCTCTGAATTCTGGAACAGCAGGTTCCAGAACCTTTCTTTCCACCTCCTGGGCATTTTCTCATTCGTCTTTCAGTCTCAGAGAGAGGCCCATCGTGATCGTGTTTTCTTGCAAGAGAAGAGGCTCCTGCGCTTGTGGTCCCCAGCCCTGTCCTGTGAAGTGCCTGCTTGGGTTGTGCCTCCCAGGTCACCCCAGGACGGGGCTCTGACCTTGGTGGTGGATCCCCAGGGGCGGGTGTGATTTGGCTGTTCGTGGATTTCCTGGTCTGGGGGTGGGCCTGGGGATCTGCATTTTAAGCGGGACCTTGGTGATTCTGATACTGGGGGTCCTTGGGAAACACTGCAACTCTTTACGAAGCCCAAAGGACGTGTCTCACCCTCCACATGCCTTTGGGCTTTGCACACCTGGTGTGGGGCGTGGGCGTGTGAGTGTGTGCACGTGTGTGGAAGTTTACCAGGCCCTCCCTTGGTACCAGTGCATGTCTGGGGTGAATGCCTGTCCCGTGGCCACCAATTCAATGTTCACTTAGGGACTGTATGGTTATTTAGCCCTTATTCCTGAAGAAGACAGTGGGGCCCAGACTGTCAAGTTAACCTGCCCAGCCGCACCTGCTTATTAGAGATAGAACACGAATTCCAGTCGAGCCGGACTCTGGCACCCGGGCCCCGTTCAGAAGAACTGGAATCTGCAGGCCCCAAGCCTCTCTTTCCTTCCATGGACGGTGTAGCTGGTGCCATATTTAGTGAAAGGTGGGGGTGAGGGGACATGCCTGGAGACCCTGGTAATAACCATTCCTGTACTTTGACAAGAACGGAGTTATGTGAATGGTTTGATGACGTGCATTTGAATATTGTTGTAATCAGATTTTCTCTTTCAACCCTCCCCCATTTCTCTCTCACCTCCGCCCCCTACTCTCACTCCCTGCCCCTTTCAAGACTCTCGCGCCCAGCTGCCAGCTCCTCGAAACCCGAAGGTTCACCTGTACAATGCTGAGCAGGTTCTGAGTTGGGAGCCGGGGTCGCTGAGCAATGACACAAGGCCGGTGGTCTACCAGGTGCAGTTCAAATAGTAAGCTGGATCTTTCTGTTGGCATCCTTACGGGGAGTGGTGCGGGGGGGCTGGGGGCCAGCCGATCGGGCTTGCCTCTTGGCAGGATTGAGGGCAAATCCACTGGAAGCAGATATTTCTCTTGTACTTTTAAAATCTCGGAGGACAGGGCGCCTGGGTGGCTCAGTCAGTTAAGCGACTGCCTTCGGCTCAGGTCATGATCCCGGAGTCCCGGGATCGAGTCCCGCATCGGGCTCCCTGCTCAGCGGGGAGTCTGTTTCTCCCTCTGACCCTCCCCCCTCTCGTGCTCTCTCTTTCTCATTCTCTCTCTCAAATAAATAAATAAAACCTTAAAAAAAAAAATCTCGGAGGACAGAGATTTCACCACCTCCCACTCACACGAAGGCTTAGACAGTATTGGTGTCAGAGACTCGGCTGCCTCCCCACAGGGCTTCTTAGTTGGGCGGGGAGACTGTTCTCACTGGTTTCAGGAGAGGTGTGTAGAAGAGGGCTTCCTGTCTAGAAAGGGCAGGAGGCACCTTGTAGCCTTCATCTTCTTCAAGTTTGAAAACCTGGTTATCGAACTTTACGGGCCAGATTTGACCTACTAAGGAAAGTATTCACTTCATTACTACTAATTCTCGATTTCTAAAAGGGGTTTTCCATTTCACACATTCTTCTGGCCCCTCATTCTCTCGCTCACCCGCTTTCACAGTTTATCATCGCTCGGTGTGCAACAGAAACGCGTAAGGGAAAAAGAAAGGCAGAATCGAAGTCCTCCGTTGTTACGTGTTTACCTCGTTACATAGGTTAAGAGAAGACTAAGTTAAAATTATTGGCCGAGTCATTTTATATTACCAGTTACACAAAATTTAAGGAAATGGTAATGCTCAGTGCTTGGGAGAGTGTGGTTGATGGAGATCGTGCTGGGTGAGGACGCGTTCGCACAGCCCTCCAGCAGAGTCATCCACCATAGAGCTAGAGACACAGAAATGTCCACGTCACTTTCCCCCTACGCAGGTAATACAAGCCCCCTTCAGAAAAAGAAAAAAAAAATGGGGTCCCCGGGTGGTTCGGTCAGTTAAGCGTCTGACTCTTGGTTTCAGCTCAGGTCATGATCTCCCAGTTGAGGGATGGAACCCTGAGTCGGGCTCTGTGCTCAGTGCGTAATCTGCTTCAGATTCTCTCTCCCTCTCCCAAAACTCTCGCTCTCTCAAATAAATAAATAAAATCTTAAAAAAAAAAAAAAAAGGAAAGGAAAAAAAGCCACTGGTATTCGTGAAGATAGACATTGAAGTATAAATTCATGTCCATCTGCAGAAAAATGCCAAATTGTGTCATGTTAACTAGTAGTTGAACATTAGGCAACTATTAAAAAGGATAATCTGGTAGTGGTCGCAACTGTGTAAAATTTGGACCATATCTGTGGTCAAGAACAGGGAAGGAACCTGGAAAAATTACGGGCACTTCATTTGTAAGAGGAGTGCGTCTCCAGGTGACTTCTTTTTCACCTTTGAATGTCCATTGTAACAACATTTGCTTAATAAAAATCGATTCTAAACCAGGGTTTAGGGGTCATCTCTGAATTACATTTAGCTGTTTCTCAAATAAGTGCCAATAATCTATTGTAAGCAGACCAGTCCACGAGGACCAGCTATATAATTTGTGGGGCCCAGCACAAAATGAAAATGGTGCAAGGCCCCCTGTCCAGAATTACTGAGAACTTCAAGATGGCGACAGCCGAGCATCAAACTGAGTGCCTCCTCAGAGGGGGGCTTTGTGCCCCTCCATGGGTCACGAGCCCGAGAAGCTGGCCCTCCTCAGCATTCAGTAAACATGATGTCGTAGAACTAAACAAGATTTCGGTGACAGGAAGTCACAGCTGATATCCTGACTCACATCCCTTAGCCTTGAAGGGGGAAGTACATCTCTGGGTCGACAGAGTTCAAGAGATAGTAGAAATATTCCTTGAAGGCTTTGACAGTTTCCTTTCCCAGACTGACATGTTTACTTCGTTTCCCTTTTGGAAAGCATTTTGCAGGTGTTTTTTTCAGGATAGAGGTTGGTTTTGGTAAAAGAAACAAAGGATGGGGTGAATGTGAACGTCCTTCTTTGGAAAAGTTGAGGGGTAATGAGAAACTGAAACCAGGGCTGGTCTTGTTTTCTTTTCCAATCGCAGATTTGATGAGAGGCGGGCCTTTGCTCTTGTTTTGTTTTTAGAGACTTTTACATGTTTGGGACATTTTAGCGACATGAAATAATTTCATTTTGAGACTTGTGGGACTTAGAACTTTTCCATCCTGTTTCTCTACAGTAAAGCGTTACTGTAATTAGAAATGAAGGTGCCTGTTTTCTGACAGTACAGCAACCAAAGCCAAAATTACACTGAGCACTGTGGGAAAATGTCAAGTTTAAATCAGGGGTTGCAGAGAGTGTGGCCTTCAGGCTGTGTTTGACCCCCAGTGTTTAATTTTTTTTTTTTTTTCACTTAGTGCCAACATTAAAAAATCTGGAGATTTCACTTTGAGAAAACTTGACCTGACCAGCCCAGTCTTCTGAAAACGTTTTTTTATTTCATTTTATTTTTCTGATTTTAACAGCAACACGTGTTCTTTACAAAAAGGCTAGAACACCCAGAAAAGTAGAAAGAATAAAATTTAAACAACCTAGTGCTCTACAGCCCAAGAATAATCCCTGTTCTCCTTCTGGCGTATTTCTCTATAGACTTTTTTCTAAATGCATGCACTTGGTTTGAAAATGTGCTAGGGTATGCGTAAAAATGAAACAAAACTGGGGTTACGCTTTTGGGTGCTGCTTCCTTTTTTTTTTTTTTTTTCAAGATTTTTTAATTTATCTATTTGAGAGAGAGAGAATGAGAGACAGAGAGCACGAGAGGGAAGAGGGCAGAGGGAGAAGCAGACCCCCTGCCGAGCAGGGAGCCCGATGCGGGACTCGATCCCGGGACTCCAGGATCATGACCCGAGCCGAAAGCAGTCGCTTAACCAACTGAGCCAGCCAGGCGCCCCCCCCCCTTTTTTTTTTCAACCAAACATAGTTAAGTGTATGAGCACTTTTCCTCCTAATGGTCTCTGTGTAAACATTTTTACTGCTCATTTTATTAGATGATGCATCACACATGATGTATTTAACGCTTCCCCACTTGCGGGTGTAGACGGTCACCAGCTTGGGTCCTCGTACATAAATCATCTGATTGTTTTCTTCATTTGTAGCAGAGGGATTGCTGGGTCAGAGGGGACACTTGCCATTTTTGGAAGTGATCTAACAGAGGCCAAACAGTGAAGTCCATAGTCGCCCAGGTGTGGAACCTGGCACCATTTACATGGTGCTTCCTGGGCACCAGGTCCTGGCTCAGGCACTTTCCTAATGTCGGCTGGTGCAACCTTCATGATCCCTCGGGGAGGCAAATACCATAATTTATCCCCATTTTATAGATAAGGGACTAAGGAACAGAGAGGCAGGTGATGGGGATTTGAACCCAGGTCATCTGGCTCCAGAGTCCATGTGTTCAACCACCATGCTGTGCTCCCTCTCATGATGAGGGCTGCTTTCGAACTGAAATTCAGGGTCAGAGGCAGTCCATGATGGATACATGGTGAGGGGGCGCCCGCTGGACTGTCGGGGTGAGACTCGGCCACGCCCGGGCCACGACAGGAGGCCAAGTCTGGCGGTGGGCGGAGCCGTGCTCGAGGCCGGGGTCACTGAAGTGCGGCCAACATCATCCCCTTATTTACCCCCTTTGCGAAGAGAGGGGGAGGCGGCCTCCAGAACGCAGCTTCCTTTTCCGCACTTCCCCCTGAAACTGCTGTCATGGGCCAGCTGTCACTTAAATTGGGAGGGTTTGTCCCCCCTTAGGCCCCTTTGTGGAGAAACATTGTTCAAAAGCAGTTCTGAGACAGGGCCAAGAGTGGAGGAGAGGGGAGGATGGGGAACAGGAGTAGTCCATTCCCTGGTAAGTCGGGAAATGAGCCTTTGAAATGTGGGGAGCCTTTTGCCCAAGTTCAACAGCTGGGATCTGCAGGGGAGAAGGTTAGAGTATCTCTAAGTATCTGTATAACTTTTTAAAGATCGCTTACCCCTTCTAAAGCACACCCCTAATCTAAGACGGGGCTACATGTGCTTAGGGGGATCCCCCTCCCCAGTAGAGTCTGGCCCCTGGGGCTTGGTGGTAATGTGAGTATGGCAGCATCTTCCACGGAAGCCACGGCCACGCATCTTGAAGTGGCCTTCATCTTGCCACTGGCCACTTTGACAGAGGAGTCTCCAGTCAGGGTCAAAGGCACCCTTAGAAGTGTGGTGTGTGAGAGCTGGTGGCAGGGATCCCCAGCCTCGTCTCTTCTGTCTCCCCAACCTTGCTTCCTAGGCCAGAGATGCTGTGGGGCGCATAGCCTGTCTCTACAGAGCACACAGCCTACTGCCCCCCACTGAGGTCCCTAGCAGCCACCTCTCTGGTTTTTCTCAAGTCTGTCACCTAAGCACAGAGATTAAAGCTGGAGAGTAGAGTTCCATGTGGGGGTGTGGCATTGGGACTCTGGGGAATGCATTGTCATTTACAAGAATATGTGACCTCGTATTTAGCAGGGTTTTCTTTTTTTTTTTTTAAAGATTTTATTTATTTATTTGACAGAGAGAGACACAGAGAGAGAGGGAACACAAGCAGGGGGAGTGGGAGAGGGAGAAGCAGGCTTCCTGCGGAGCAGGGAGCCCGATGTGGGGCTCGATCCCAGGACCCTGAGATCATGACCTGAGCCGAAGGCAGACGCTTAACGACTGAGCCACCCAGGCACCCCTTAGCAGGGTTTTCATACGGGTGATGCAAACTTTAAATGGGCAGCTGTGGGATAAAACAAACTCCACACCAGCAAGAAGCATGAGTGGGGTTTGTATGAACACGGTATCTTTCCTAAGACATTGGCTACAGAGGCTGAGTTTGAAGAATCAAAATCAGTTGCAGGACTGAATGGGAAATGTCTGATAAGAGACTTGCATCCAGAGTATATAAAGAACTCTTACAACTCAACAATTAAAAGACAACCCAATTAAAATACAGAGAAAGGGTTTGAGTAGACAGTTCTCCAAAGAAAATATACAAATGGCCAATAAATACATAAAAAGATGCCCAACATCAATATTCATCAAAGAAATGCGAATTTAAGGGCACCTGGGTGGCTCAGTTGGTTAAGCGACTGCCTTCGGCTCAGGTCATGATCCTGGAGTCCCGGGATCGAGTCCCACATTGGGCTCCCTGCTCGGCGGGGAGTCTGCTTCTCCCTCTCCCACTCCCCGTTTGTGTTCCCTCTCTCGCTGTGTCTTTCTCTGTCAAATAAATAAATAAAATCTTTAAAAAAAAAAAAAGAAATGCGAATTTAAGACCACAGTGATCCACCACAGCACCACCACTAGGATGGCCATAAAAAAAAAAAAAGAGGCATAATGACAAGCGTTGGTGAGGATGTGGAGAAATTGGAACCCTCGTACATTGCAGCTGGGAGTGTAAAATGGTGCAGCCACTTTGGAAGACAGTTTAAAATAAGAGTTAGACCCATCAGTTCCACTCCTAGGCGTTCAGCCCAGAGAATTGAGAAGTTATTTCCACAAAGAAATTTGCACGTGAATATTTCTTAGCGTTACACACAACAGCAAAAAAGTGGGAACAGCCACCATGTCCAGAAACAGGTGAACAGAGAAACGGTATGTACTCTAAGTGTATGCTGGGATCGTGTTCGGCCCTCAGAAGGGGGCTACGGTATGACGCATCACGCCTGAAAACACGCCAGGTGGAAAGAGACAATCAGAAAAGACCATGCCGTCTATGAGCCCGTTTGTAAGAAATGTCCAGGAGAGGCAAATCCGTAGAAACTGAAAGTAGACAATTAATGGTCGCCCAGGGCTTAGGGGGTTAGGGCACAGTGG